GCGTGATAATGTTTGTGTTTGCACCATTAAGCAATGTCAAAATTAAAAAAATTCTCAAAAATTTCGTTCTCGAATTTTGTTTATTTACTCAAAGTGGGGGGGGGGGGGTTTCTCAGAGTCTTAAACTATGTTAATCATCGATCGAGTACCCACTTGCTGCAATTACGGCCTCCGAACGCTTCCGGAATGCACGGCAGGTTCTAATAATGTAATCTGGATCAATTTCTCTCCAGGTCAATGTTTGTCTGAGGCTTGCTGTACTCGGGTGGCGTGTAGAACAGGTCTTCCCAACAAACATTGACAGTTGAATTTGCGCTTATTCAGACAAAAATAAGCTTCTTCAGCTAAAAAATTGCTTATTCAGCTTTTAATCAGCTCAAATTGTTTGTTGGGTTGGCCTTCATTTAGGGGGAATGACACTGATGAAGACTGCACATTGTAGTCGAAATACGTATCTGTCAACCAAAATTAATTAAGTGGAATTTAATGAAAGATAACCATTTTTGCTGTTTTATTAAGGCATTCCGCTAACAACCCAATTTCATTACTACTTCATTCTTCATAACGCGCTATATTGAGTAATCCAGCGGATTAAGATCGGGGCTGGATGGCGACCAAATATCCTACGCCCAGAACGGAAGGTGTTCCTGCAACCACTTCTGAGTGTGGTTCGAGGTGTGGCACGCAGCCCCATCTTGTTGAAATACAACATTTGGCTTCGGACCGTACTGTTCTTTGATCCACGGAAGAACATACTTACTTAAAATCACGATGTAGACCTCCGTGTTGACCTTGTCGCCTTCTGGAATGAACACCGGGCCCATTTTTGTCATTGGAAGCCACCAATCCAAAAACCCCAACGCTAGCAGGATGCTTGGTCAGATACACGTTCTTGTGCTCGTCGGCCACGTCTTTTACCGGAAGAGAACTAAAATACCGGTCGGTTCTGGAATTTGATACGAGATCGACGGTAAACATGCTCTCGTCGGTGAACAGGATTACCGGATTTTTTGCTTAAGGAAGTTCAAGATTTTCTTGCATCGTTCGACTCGTAGCTCCTGGATGCGGTTGGTAATCATGTGAGTTTTTTTTCCGTGCCCTTGACTTCGCCCCGCAATCTTCCGTGCCGTAAAGTCACTGATCCCGTGTTCCTTTGCCATTTTCCTTATTGAACGCACTGGATTCACCCGAATCTTCCTTTTGATAGCAGCGATAACCCTCGGAACCCGAGCTGACCTCGGACGACCTGTGGCCAACTTTACGGATAGTTGTACTTTCTTTTCTCGGTCTAAAACCCTTTTGACGGTCCACCGGGACACTCCCACGGCGATTGAAATGTATTTTTGCGACATTTGCGCGTGGGACAAATCACGAATACGCTGCCACATCGTCATGGTGCAACTGTCAAACTAAGTAAATCATTTTCTTGTATACACAGCCTACTACGGTATGAGCTATAGGTTACGTGCATGCAAAGAAAACCAAGGTATTGTATGCATAGGTGAAACGGGAACCTTATTTGTACGATGGTGCAAACATTATCACGCATACGGTACACTTAGGCTGTGTTCCATTTGGTGAATTTTCGCTTAAATTTGACAGAAGGAAAGCTTTCAAATAAACCTTCTATTGTACCAAACTTATTCTTGACAGACAAGGAATTAATTTTAACAAAAGCACCTTCTCGAAAATTGCACGATCAATTGCCGAGAGATTTTCCAACCTTATAATTTATTTTCGAACTGTCAAATTTAAGTGAAAATTCATCAAATGGAACACATCCTTAGTAAAGGATTAATTGCACCTTATTGAAAATGATTGCTGCGGAAATGGCTTAAACAGCTAGTAGGGTTTCCAAAATAGGTCAACTTACCCTACTTACCCCGCATGGGAACGATTCTATTCTCTAATCATTGTAGCGGCATTGTAAACTAGTGTAAACTATGAATGCTTTCTGGGTTATCAGCGTGATGGTCACGCTTCTGTTTTGGTACCATATACACACGTGGAATTATAGCGGAGGGGATAGTTGACAGATTTGACTCTCATCAACCATTTAAGTTTATGCTGCGCTTACAATATAGCAGCGAATTTCGTATTTTGAGTAGTTAAATATTTACATGAAAATATTTATCATCGGATTTACGCTTCTGTTTCACAACACCATCAACTTCAACCAAAGTGGTACCCATTTGGGCATGTACTTAACATTTCGGTAGCCTGGTCGGCGACAAACATGTGTAGATGTCAAGAGATAAGCTATTACAACGGAATTGAATGGTGGAAAATACTCAGCCTACTCCAATAACTTACTTCACAGCAGCGTTTCCAGGTAAATTTCAGGAAAATCTGGTCCAGTTAAAATGTAAAATCTGGAAAAATTTGGAAAGCACTGAAGAATCCAAACTACAAAAAAAAATCTTTTTTTTTTTAAATATAGGGTAACTGATGATGGTTGGACCTATTTAGGCCGGTTTCACACGACGTCAATATTCATGTCGTATTTTTTTTATGAATTCAACATATAATTATGAAAAATGCGTGATTAGGGGAAAGATCTACCTTTCTTGTTTCTAATAATAACATAAAAAGTTAAATATTATGAACAAGGCTCATTTTCTCGGGAATCATTGACCCAATTTGGAATTTTTTTTTTAACGTCAAACTATAGGTATTATGGTCCCATTGTAAGCTATTGAATATTTTTGGAATCGGTCAATTGGTTCCAGAGATATGGCCGGAACAAGTTCCAGGGTATATGGAACATGGACCTAATTTTGACATGGAAGGAATAAAACCTATCATGCGACACTTTACATTACTTCCAAATTCGATAACAAGATCAATAACAAAATTGAGTGCCTTGGACCACATTGGCCACTTCCGGGCCTGTTCTGGGTGCCCCCGGGGAATTTAGGGGCTTAAAATGACAGAATATCAGAACTTAATTCCGTCTTTAAAGTTTTTTTTTCTACTAGGAGCTTTTTTTTTCGGAAATAAGTTGCAGTTAGCAATTTTTAGTTTGTTAACATTTTATTTCAAGTTAATTCACACACAGAAGGTGTATGTGAAGTGCTTAATGTAAATTCATATTAACAGATTCTTTCGGCGCTTCCGTGGTAGTTCGGAAATCGGTGGTTACCCTTTCAACCAACCTGACGATGGAATTCCTCCTTTAAATTTACGCCCAACTAGTGACGCAAGGTCTTTAGCAGCTTCCAAGATCTTTTTGGCCGTCTTGGGACTGCCAGAAGCAGCGCACATACAAACCCAATCCGCTAGCTGGTTCTCCAAATCAACACTCAACACTATTTTCATTCCATATTTCTTGCCGTGGCTTCCCTTAATTTTTGCGTCGTTTTCGGAATATTGTACCTTTTCTGTGCCTGATACGCGCTAAGTGATTTATTTCTTACTAAAAGAAAAGCCTCTTGAAGATTTTCGACCGTATAACTCTTTTCTTTAGCCATTTTTTCAATCGAAGAAACTGATCACTCGGCCAAAACTAAATCGAATTTCAAATCAGCTGCGCATGAAGGATGTAGACAAACCGAAGCGCACTTAGCGGCCGTCTTAGGAAACACATAGGTCCAACCATCATCATGCGTAGGTCCAACCATGATCATATTTATCTATTCGAATTTCGTCAATTATTCAAACATTTTAGTGAAACCAATGGATAAATGGCGCACTAACGTGCGGTTTACACCTTAAAGCAGTATTTTACTGCATGAAAATAAAAATAAATGTGAAAAATATTCCCTTTTTGTATGTTTGAAAGTAAGGCATGATGACGAGCTAATACATGAAAAGTGAACTGTTTTGAAAACACATTGAAACTCAATTGTTTTGAAGTTTTTTTTCAATAAAACACCCATGCAAATTGAAGAAAAAGAGTTTTTTATGATAGTAAAGTGATCTTTGAAAATAAAAACTTAGCGAAGATTGACTAAACTAGCGATTGAAAAATAGGTCCAACCATCATCAGTTTTTGGATAGGTCCAACCAGAATCAATTACCCTAATTCTATTGAATTAAAAATGGCGTACCAATTGGCCGAAAAAATCGTTCAGTAGGGTTTTGATCTAATTTCCGTCCTGCTAAACACAACCCGCACTTAACCTCTTTTTTTAACGGATATGATCCCAAACATGGCGTGATTTTACTATTTTCCTTTCTATACCTACCGTTGGATTTGATAAGGAGTCACACATAGTTAAGATATTGTTCGAAATCTAACACTTCTTCTTGATTTAAAATTCGTATTTTTTAGAATTTTGGATTGAACTGATTACATACAAATTTTACCCGTATTTACCAGTACCTGATTGTACTTGTCGTTCTTCTTTCGCTCAAACATTTCGCTTGAACATAAGTGTTAACTTGATCTTTGAAAAATGAAACTGTCCAAGACGGGCGTAATAATTCGCCTCACGATTCAAGTTTATATTCTCAACATCGGACACTTTTGCCATCATTATCGGGTTAATTGTCACCTGAATGTGAAAACTCAATTAGTTTACTGTTGTTTGCAATCCAAACGTGAGCTCAGTGTGCTCTGTTTGGGTTCACGAAAATAAAACTTCATAAAAGTCAACCATCCACGTCCATCGTTCAACAATAATGATTCACAACGTTTGACGGAATGGTCAATTTGAATGTTTGCGGTACAACTCGTGCGTGTAATTGCCGGCAAATAATTTATCTTCATGTCTTTATTTTTGCAAATCTTCCCTCAATGACGCAGTTGGCAAAATGTCAATGGAATTGTTTCAGACTTCGTGTGACTTCGAAGCAGGTGCCAAACGCTGGGCGCTTTATCAATGCTGTCGTAAAAATGGGATTAGCACATGCGGCGGGCTCGAATCGGGGTGACATATCGGTTTTAATTTTACGATGAAATTTCGCACCTGGAGAATTTAGTATTTTTTACGATCGCCGTGAATCAAACGTTAATTGAGCAACCTTCAAACTAGTTTCATATAAGTTCCAATATTCACCTCTGTTTGAGATTGTCCGGAACGAAAATGTTCCACCACGAGTGTCGCTTTTCGCGGCCGTACTTGCTGTTGAAGGTGTCCAACCCATTCGCCGATCCGAAACCATCCAGACTGCCACTGTTGCTGGCGCCTTCCGCGTTGTCCAGTGCAGAGGACATCCCTTTACGGCGTCGTCGTTCCAATTTCGTTTGCCACGAGGACGATCGACGTCGTTTCTTGTCATAACCGGACCCATTTCCGGGCAGACTCCCATTGCTGGCACTGAATTCCGACGGTCCGGATCCATTGGACTCCCCGCCGAGAACGACGGCAGCGACGCTTCCAGCCGGCACCGTGTAATAGTGATTGGGCGAGTCATTCTCAATGTCGGACTCTGTGGTTTTGTGGTACTTTTCTGGGATCGTCGCGATGGGATAGTGTTGATTGTGGGATTTTGAATCACGACGACCTCCACCGAGGAAAGCCACTGCAATGGAGCTACGTCGTTTGTTGCCTTTTTCGCCGTTACCGTTGCCGTTGCGACTGCCGAGAAGGCCAATTCCTAGAGAACTTCGTCGTGGCGATTTGACACTGAGTCCATTTTTGATATTCAGTGCGTTGTTGGCGAACGGTTCAAGGCTACCGTTGGTGCTACCCGTGGCACCGTTTGGCGAGGCCGCCAGCGGGTGCAGGTGATAGCTGTGAAGCTCTGACTCGGTACCGGTGACCGCATGAAGACTAGATTCCTCCTCCAGGGAGACCAATGTGGGGATCGATCCGGTACTGTGGTCCTTCCGCGAGCGATACTTGCCCGGTGTAGAGAGTATACTGGTCATGGTTTCGGTGATGCTGTTTGGAGGAAGGGGCAAAGATTAATGGTTACAATCATCGGTATTACATCAATGGTAGTTGCGCTGGAGCTTGTTCAGAACCGATTTCTTTCAGTTATGCGATAAACCTGTTTATGACCTTTTTTTGCATAAGCCCTCATTTTTCACCTCTGAATGCGAATCGCACTTGCAGTTGAACAACTAAAAAATAACCATATAATCATCTCAGGAGTGCAAATAAATCATAAAACCCCGGGAACGAAGAAATAAATGCAGCCAATTATTCTTTCAAGAGCGAGAGAGTCGATCCGATGGACGATATGTTTTGACCATGTCACAGCATGAGAGAGCTGGAGGACTCGGCGTAGCTACTTCTTTTGTCGGCGGTGCGTTTTATGGCGTAAATAATTGGACAAAATAATTCCATAAAAAATTGGCTGCAATCGGTCTGCTTCTGCCGTGGTACGTATGTATCAACGACGTTGAAGGCTACCGTTAGTTAGTTAAGTTAGATGATATTAATGAATTCCGTACTACCATCAATAGAGATTTCTTGTGGGGCCAGCCCAAGAAATGGTAATGTAATTTACTAATAATATGATCATATGATTGTTTTGATCAGTAGAGAGTTTGAAGAATGATCCCGGATCATCCTGATAGAATGAGAACAGATCTGAAGGACTGAAAGTCTTCAGAATGATATCAACCTGATTTGATGAGATAATATCTAGAAGACTTCACTTGATCTTGACACCCTTATGATTTGGATAACCTACGATACTTTGTCAATACAAGTGTGTAAGTCTAACACAATATTTTGAAGCTTTACAAATCCCTCCGAATGTGTTCAGCAGTGATGCGAGGTGTATTTTGAAAAAATCTTCATCGAGATGAACAAAATGTCTTCACATGTCTTCACCGCAACTCTTAGACAAATTGGGGATGATCAGATTTATAAAATGAGCCTTTACAAATCCTGAAAAGTGAACGAAACAACATTTAGTTTGAGGGAACTACATACAAGTGCATGGAATTTTGTAGATCTTCAGGAGACTTCGTAAAACTTCATGGAACTTCATGGAACTTCTCAGAACTTCCAGAAATTGCGTAGAAGTTTAGAACACTTTATAGAATTCCAGTACATTCTTACTTTGTAGAAGTTTACCGAACTTTGAAGAACTTCAATGATCTCTAACGAAGAAAATTCTGTAGAATTTTAGCAAATTTTGTGCAAGATCAGTGAAATTTGCAATAGCTTAGTAAACTTTGTAAAAATAATAGAATTTGTAAAAGTTTAGCGAACCTTCAACAAATTTTGAGAAATCCCTTGAAGTTCAAGATTTTTTATAGAATTTCAAGTAAACTTCATAGAAAATCTTGAAACTTCAATGAGCTTCGGAGAACTTCGTAGAAGTTCAGCGTATATTGTAAATCAGGAGTCTTTAATAAGCAAAATGTGTATAAGTTTAGTATACCTTGTAATTTAACCTCAATTTCAAGTAAACTTTGTAGAAATTCTAAGAATCTTTATAAGACTTCGCTGAATTTCAGAGAACTTCGCTGAATTTCAGAAAACTTTGTAGAATTTCAGAGAACTTCGTAGAATTTCAGAAAACTTTGTAGAGTTTCAGAGAACTTCATAGAATTTCAGAGAACTTCGTATAAGTTCAGGGAACTTCGTGGAATTTCAGAAAACTTTTAAGAATTCCTGAGAACTTCGTAGAGTTTCAGAGAACTTCGTAGAATTTCAAAGAACTACGAGAAATTGCAGAAAACTTTGTAGAATTTCAAAGAACTTCGTAGAATTTCTGAGAGCTTCATAGAATTTCAGGGAACTTCGTAGAATTTCAGAGAACTACGTAGTATTTCAGAAAACTTTGTAGAATTTCCGAGAGCTTCATAGAATTTGAGAGAACTTTGTAAAATTTCAAAGAATTTCGTAGAATTTCCGAGAACTTCGTAGAATTTCAGAGAACATCGAAGAATTTCAGAGAACTTTGTAAAATTTCAGAGAACTACGTAGAATTTTTAGAGAATTTTGTAGAATTCCAAAGAACTTCGTAGAAGTTCAGAGAACTTCGTAGAATTTCAGATAACTTCGTAGATTACGTGTGTAGATTACTTCGAGATCATTACGTGATATGGCGAACAAAGTAGTGTTTTTGTTGAGTTGTGCTGTGGAAATAAATACATAATTTCGTGTGAAATAGTGCCGTGTGCCGCGAAAGGATCATCCCAACGCGTGCCCGTTGTGTTGTTTTTAACAGGATAAGTAGAGAACGGTTGCCTAGCAACTCGTTTTGGATTTAATTTTGATTTTCCCCCCAGCGCGCTATTGATTTTGTATAGTGAGCTGCGGCGGTAAAATTTTATTTTGTGTTCTCTTCCCCTGTATATGTCTACTGCTAACAGTGTGCGCGTTTAATTTGGCGTGGTAATATGGATGTGTGTAATGTCTGCAAGGAGTCTATTACTATTAGTGGGCTCCCAGTCACATGTGTAGGTCCGTGCAATGGAATGTTCCACTTCAATTGTGCGGCACTCACTAAGACTGCGGCGCGCCTAATAGCAGATAATGCAAATGTTGTTTTCAAATGTGGTAACTGTCTATCAGGTCAGTGTTGTGGCGAGCAGAATGATCTGATCTCGCGCGTCAATAGGATAGAAGAAGAGATGAAGAAAGTTTTTCAACTCTCGGACTCTATCACTGGCATACGAGATCACATTGCTGCTCAGATAGACATCGCGGTTAAAAGCGGGATGGCAGATATAAGCCGAAATGTAAATGGTTTTGAAAATTTAATTTGTGAGAAATTGGATAATATGAAAAGTTCATTTTTTTAAATTGATGCGGAAAACAAATTAGCGGTAATGAATGATCAGTGCAGTGTATCTAGGACGATTCAGTCGGAATCGGACCAAAATACCAGACGCAAAAAACGTAAATTAGTAATCAGTAATAGTGATAATGATGATGTTTTTCAAGAAAATGCGAGTTTTGCGGATGTTGTAAAAAGAGACAGTCGTGCTAGTAAAAGTAAACATGTTAGTAACAGTAACAGTAAAAATAACAGTAACAGTAACAAACAAGATAATCGTAAGACTCGTCCGGTCATTGTGATTAAACCGAAAGAGTCCAAACAAGCTTGCGAAGACACTCGTAAGTTTTTGAAAACTCAGTTGGATCCAAAAACACACAAAATCAGTAGTTTTAGAAATGGTAAAGATGGCTCCATTATTGTTGAGTGTGCAACAGGAGCAAATGTAAGTGATGTCAAAAATGGTATTGAAAGCAATCTGGGTGAAAGCTATAGTGCTGTTGTTCCCACTTCGGTGCCGAGATTGAAAATAGTGGGCATGAGCGATCAGTATTCCTCCGATGTCTTCATTGACTATTTAAAAAGTCAGAATGAAGACATCGCTATAAATGATGTAAAAGTAGTTAATATGTTTGAAAATCCACGCTTCACGTACAACAAGTTCAGTGTTGTGATTGAAGTCGATTTCGATACGTATAAATGTTTGTTATGCGCGAAAAAAGTAAATGTAGGGTTTGATCGGTGCTCTATAGTTCCCGCGATTAATGTATTGAGGTGTTTCAAATGTGGAGAATTTGGGCACAAGAGCATGGATTGCAAAAATTGTGAGAGATGCTCTAGGTGCAGCCAACAACACAAAACATCGGAGTGTACGTCAACTGTATTGAAATGTGTTAATTGTTTGAAAATGAATAAAGAACGTAAAATGAACTTGGACGTCAACCATGCCGCATTTAGTCCTGAATGTTTGATCTATAAAAGACTTTTTGAACAGAAGAAAAGCAGCTTGCGTTTCAATAAATAGCAGCCAAGTTCCAGGAATGTGAATCAATTTGATTTTTTATATTTGAATATTGCGGGGTTGTCAACAAACTACGTAGCATTACGTCAGATTGTTGAGGAAAAACGTCCTCTTTTAGTTTTATTATCTGAAACTCATATTGTAGAAACTGAAGCTTTTGATCAGTATAGTATTCCGGGATATATTGTTGCTGCTTGTTTATCACATTCTAGACACACTGGCGGTGTTGCTATTTATGTCAAAGAATCAATTCAATTCGACCTTCGAATCAACGAAGTTATCGATGGTAACTGGTTCTTGGGCATTACAGTTGTGCGTGGCATGAAGATGGGTAATTATGGTGTTTTGTATCATTCTCCCAGTTCTAGTGACCAGCGTTTTGTTGATGTTTTAGAGAACTGGCTAGAGACATTCCTTGATTCAAGTAAATTAAATATATTAGCTGGTGATTTTAATATTAATTGGCGTGACAACCATAATTCGAATCATTTGAAGCGTTTAGCTGATTTTTTCAATTTAAAACAAACGGCAGATGAGTATACGCGTATTTCCAGGCACAGTAGAACTTTAATTGACCACGTTTATTCCAATTTTGATTCCATTTGTTCAGTTCCGGATGCTGATTTGAAAATAACCGATCATGAGACCTTAGTGATTAATGTATTAGATAATATCAATAATAACGATGACTTAGTCAAATTGAAGTGCTGGAGGAAATATTCGAAACAGGCTGTTTCAAATCTTGTTGAGAGAAGCGTGGATTTTCCATTCGCGGCCGGTAATTTAGATGAATCTGCAGCTGTTCTAACTAACACTTTGAAAACGTGTACCAATCAATTAGTTGAGCAAAAGTTTGTTTCTTTGAAAAACTCGAACAGCTGGTACAATTTGGAACTTTTGCGTCTTAAACGTAAGAGGGACAAATGGTACAAAAAGTTTTGCAGATCAAATAATGATAATCATTGGAATAGGTACACAATCGCGCGTAATAAATATTCACAATCGATAAAACAAACTCGTTGTGAATATGTCCAGAGGAAGATTGATCAGCATCAAAACAACAGCAAAGAGTTATGGAAAATTTTGAAATCTTTATTAAAACCTAGTAATTGCAAACCGCGGTCCATAACTTTTAATGGCACATTAGAACAGTCAGAACCAGTAATTGCATCTATGTTT